ATACATTTAAATGGGGGATATAGTAGAAAAACATACAGCAAATGGAAAGCAAAGAGAAAGCTTTTTACTCTGCGAAATTACTAAATAAAATTAACAGTTGGTGTTTTTTCAAGTAAGTGCAGAGCTGTTTTGAATAAATTCGATTTTATTCAATGAATATCAATTCCCTTGAGGTTTTTTCCTAAGATGAAGTGTAAGGTTAACTTATTGATTTATTCCATTATTCGCTTTACATTGTCTGATGGCTATCTCCCTTTCACATTTCCACACACATCAGATTTTCTATTACCCAAAATAATTTATGTCCGAAATAACATGCATAAATTAGCAGATGCATGCATTTGATGAAATTTAGAATGCAGTTGCGACAAAAAGGGATGGGAGGGAGCACAGAAAAAATAAATTAAATTAATATTTATTACGCACATTTCGGTTGATTTGGTTTTGCACTTGGCTGCACTTCTGCCGCGGACTAGGCATTGGACATGGAAATGGACAGGGACCTGGACATGGACATAGACATGGTTACACGCAGATGAACATGGACATGGAACATGGACAGCTTGCATAAATATTTAGTTGGGACAAATAGTAAATGCTCGGAAAAAGTTACACATGCAAATAAGTCGCACTCGAATGTATTTATTTTTATTAATCTATTTACTCAATAAACTTGTTGTCCACCAGCTGACTTTTTTTTAATATTGGAGAAATTTGTATTTGGTTTTGTGGTTTTGCAATTTGCATAAATCAATTTGAAATTATCCACTGCCAGCGGTATCACATTTCTAATTATGTTGATGGCATTTTTAGTTTGTTTAATTTATGCAAATGGAACGAAATATTTGCGTGTTTGCCGGAGTCACTGATTAATTGTTTGTGGCAGGTTAATTATTATTTTTTATAGTCGAACAAAATGCTAGTAGCGGCACACGGAACCGGGAAAAACACGCAGTGCGACAGTAATTTCCTTTTGTTGTTCAAGTGGCAATTTAATTAAGCTATTTAAAGGCTCTAAATATTAGCAATTAATATTAATGCGACCGCATAAACGCTTGCGACAGTTTACACGATTTAATTATAGATTATGGCTAGCTAATAAATTATTTAGGCCAAAGCAGCAAGGGATTTGGATTTATTTTTTATGATTTACGTTTTTAAAGGATTTTGTGTGGATAGACTAAAGTGTGTGGCCTTTTGGTAATTTAAAAATATTTATTTATTTAAAAGAGTCCTTTCGATATTCTTACAATAAAGTTGAGATAATTTAAGTTCATTTCTAGCCAAAATTGTATCTAATCAGGTCATCATTTTTCACTTTGCATTAATTAAAACAAAAGTGATTTTAACCGCTTCAATAAGTTATTATCTCTTCAGAATTTGTGAAGCAGCCTTAAGTCAATTGACTTGGTACTCTATTATGATAATTTAGTGAATGAGTGTCTAGCAAATTTTAACGTAATGATTGGCAAAATGCAGTTTCAGTAATTAAGTCAGCATTTGGCCTGTATGTTAATCAAACGAGTTTTGAAATGATTGACAAATTCCTGAAAACGAAATTATGCAATTTTATAATCATTTTTTTTTTGCATATCTTTCAATCGGACTTAATTTGATATATTTGCATGCTGAATGCTTGAATCTCCTTATCCTGACATCTCTAGTTTATTATGCCAATTAAAAGGACTCTAATGCTAATGCGATTTGTGTCCAACAAGGCGATATTGTGCAGTGATTACGCAGCACAGTGTTTCCTCTTAATTGGAATCATCTTTTAATTGCCATATTAAGCACGCTCGATAAGTATACGCTGTGTGGTACTCGCACATGGCCAAACACACATACACTTTCAATCGTATCCTAGAAACACACAGAGTTCTATATAGACACCCACACAATGGCAAGCAATTATGCATGAAGACGGCGTTTAGTTGAAATTGATTGCTCACCAAGCGGAGACAGTTCCTAACCGAGTTGAAGACTAAGTGGCGAGGAATACTAACCCCAAGCATTCGATGCATCCTTTGAGGAAGGACTTCCAGGTGTTGAGATGTGTTTGCCTTTATGCGTATCTGTATGCACTCAATTAAGCATCTTGGCCATCACACAAGCATACACATCTACACAAATCCTGCCGGCCTAAACACATTTTACGCACTGCACTTGACAGCCGCTGGCTCCGTTAATTGATAAACTTGGTTCCATAAACTTTTCTGCCGAATTGCCAAATTTTCTGACATCGGACACTTTGATTGCACAACTAGGAAAGTGAAATTGAAAAAATGTTATCAAACAGGGAAAAAACAAAATATCACACTTTGAGATTCTGTTAAGGTTTGTGAAAGCTGAATATGAGTAGGAAATTGTAATGATTTTTTGTTTGGTGATATTATATTTCATTTATTTTCAGAAATGTTCTTTAATAATTTCTGCATAAAAGTAATAATAACTCACTTTAGATTTTTTAATAACCTACCTATATTTTCCCAAACCTCTTTGCTTGCCAAAAACATCTTGAATTTTCGCCTCGTAATATATATTTCAATATTCCGCAATAAACCAACTTCTGCTTCATTTATTCATACATGGCTGTAAACCCCAAAGAAACTTTACCTCTCAGCTCAAATTGGAAATAAATCGAAATGCTTGACCCAAAAACCAGGAGAAATTCCATTTATTAATGCAAAATCGGAAATTTGTGCTGTGTTCTTGTGTTTGTATTTGTACACACACTCCCACACACACACACAGGTGTGCTATTGGTCGAAGGTCCTGCAGAAGGCAATATCCTTCAACGGCTCCATTTATTGCGATATTTATGTGGAGGGCGTAAATCAAGAACACAAATGGCATGGAATTAATAAATGAGTCCACACGTGATGAAAATTTTGCTTTATTCACTTTGATTATTATTTTTCTCAAAAACATTTCTCTGAAGGAAATACGAGGAGCAAGCACACGGGGGCAGGTTCAACAATAAATTTCCCTCAACGGCATGGACGGCACTTCGAATTTATTTGCTCGGTTATTTTGCAGCCCTTTCATATTTTATGTTAATTAAACTTGTTGCCCAGTTTTTGTTGCAACTTGAAACCAATTACGCAGGTTGCGAGTGGGCGTGTGTGTTCCCACAAACACACTGACAGTCTGTTATGCTGCTTAATTCCTTCAACTCTAACTCCTGGCTGCAGTTTGTTACTTCGTTACTTAGTTTTGACATGATGCATGCACACGGGGGGCGGAAAGCGGTGGAAAATCATGGAAAATCGTGGGGCGCACGGGGCGCGAGCTCTCCAAAGCGTGAAATAACTTCCGTTGCAAATTTCATTTTCGTTGCACACACATTTTTTATTCACACAAAATGCACGATGCAGACACATGAAATACTCGTTCAAGAGGGCAAGTGTGTGTGTGAGTGTGTGGAAAACTCCTGTGTATATGGCAGCGTTCGCATTTCAGTTTGAAAGTTTGTTACCCTTTTTGGCTGTGAATGAGTTTTAATGAGCTTCAAATTATGACGGCAAATAAGCCCGGCATCACTTCCAAAACTTTAAGCTTCTTAAACAATAATTGAATAGGCAAAGGTTTTAGGAAGGGAAAATAACTGATATTAGGTAAGCTTCTGTTTAAACTAGTAAATAAAAATATAACATTGCAAAGTGCAACTACGGCAACATTTCTTCATCATTTTCCTCGAAGATATTGCAACACTTTTAAGTACAACTTAGGAACATAGTAATTTAGTTGTCAAGAGCCAGCTTGAAGCTTAATAACATGAAGTTCAATAACATAACATTAACCGTCGCAAATCTTCTGGCTTCTGCATCTACGCACTTTATTACTTCATTCTATTAGGGATTATACTACGAGAAATATATATCACAAAACTTTCAAGTATTAGAATAAAAATTTCACAACTATTAAAAACTAACAAGACTAAAGTTTAATAAAAAAAGGTTTTTTGTTTGTTATTTATAGCAAGCTCTGAATGTGCAATTGGAAAAGCAAGTAAAAAGAAGTTTGTACAGCCTAAGGCCATGCTGAATTCATTTGTTGAAGTGTTGAAATGTTGAACAACTTAAATTAAAATGACTTCGTCAAGTTTTTCCTTTATTTTACTTATACTTGCAAATTTCCACCGTGTTGTTCAGTTTGCCAACCAAATGCGACTTTTGTGCCGCCATGAAAAATAAAGTGCTGTAAATAATTTGAATTTAATACTATTTTCTGCTATTTTTTGATTCTTTTTCACCGAAGTTTGTAATTATTTTCTTACTTCGTTCGCCGCAAGTGTGAAAATCAGCACAACTTTTTCGTGTGAAGGCATTTTCCTCGTTTTTCCCTGCATTTTCAGTTGGTTTTTGCTGTTCTTTATTTTTATGTTGCCCCAGGACAGTCGCAAAAAGAGATGCAAAGTTTTTTATGGCAGCACGAAGTTGTGAAAGGGTTGGGTCCATCCGTCCATTAAAAATGTATAGAAAATAATTTAGTTAAATATTCGGTCAGTGGCTTGCAGTTTTGCCACCTTTTTTCATTTGTATAAGAGTTGAATTGAAGTTGGTTTGGATCTTGGGTAAGCCGGAGAAACTTTTCTCTCCGCTCGATTGGGTTTCCCACCACCAGAACGATCAGCTGGGACGGGAAATCCACCACCCAAAATTGGTGCTATTGTATACATTTTTGGTAAAGAGAAAACACAGAAAGAGAGAGAGGGAAAAATTTGGGGGCGGGAGAAGGAAAGCGCATTGATAAGAACGCCTGTTCGACAGAAACCGGTTCTACAGTGTTCTCTAGGTTAAAGATAACTTTTTAAGATATTAAATATATATTTAATAGATTTTAAACTAATAATTTTGCTGTTTAATTAACTTTGTTTTTAAATTTTAAATGAAATTCCCTTGCTGGTTTCTAAGAACAAATATTTTCACTATTTAGAGCGGTCACTGTACTTTGTTACTTGTTTGTTTATTGTGGGCCTGCTGTCTGGTTTCCGGTTTTCCTAAGTTTAGACTGCATTGACTGATTGCAGAGTTCACACGTGCACGTGAAATTACTACTAAAAAAATAATAATATATTTTATAAAAATAGAACCATGGCTTCTATGGATGATTTTTTCAATAAAGTGCAACGAAAACACCCGACAATTAATGATGATTTAAAGGCAATTTTTAAAAACTCACAAAGCGATTCACCACACCGCTCTATCACCCTATCACAAATACGTGGCAAGTATTCTCAGAATGGGTTGACTGGGGAAAAACTCTAATTTTTAATTGCCATTGCAGCTGCCTATAGCCAACGAACTGGCGAGGATTTCCCAGTCAAGGGCAGCACGCGAACCCAAATGTGTTTTATCCTGACAATCCCCTATATCGCCTGCTTCACCAGTCGTATCGGGACATTGCGATTTTTTACCTTCGAGGCGAATCAGGAATAAGGGTGCAGATACACATCACATCTAGTCATACCTGTGCAATTTTTCTTTTAATATAACATGCAATATATTTTAATTTTTAGTATACAAAATATAATATTTCAAATATGAAAACAGACTTAAAGAATTTTTTTACTTTATGCTTAAACTAAATAATATGTATAACTTACATAAAAGCCTGCTTTTGCGACCTACCGCAAGAAAAGCCATTCCAAGCAGCTGAAAAAAAACAATAAACCTTAGCTGTTACAGATTCATAGCTGTTGTAGGTTTTTTTTTTAGCTACGGAACTATCAAATTGGAAAATTATATTTACTTAGCGAAGTCACGCACCTGCCTAAATGGTTCTAAAACTGAACTACGAAAAAGTATAAGAGAGTTGATCAAAGACTGCTCGTATAAGAAATATTAGAAACTTATATTTTAAATAGAAAATATAAAAAAAATTTAAATCTTTTTCATGTCATTTAAAAATATTTAATATCGGTAAAAATGTTTTTAGTCACTATGCCCACATCATTACGAAATCTGCTTAAATAAAAATGTGGATTAAAAAATTTTAAAAGCTGATTTCAAAACAGAACAACCAAAACATAGCTTTTTATAATCCATTGAAAATCTAAAAAAATCTATTAAAATAAAATGTGTAAACTTCCGTCAACTTTCGGTTGGCCATCGACGACAATTTCCAATTTAAATGCCATTCGCTTCTGGTTTTTGCTCTCCAGCTGGCAATTGCAATTTGGGCCATGGCTGAAATCAAACGGCAACAACAAACAGCGCCGGGAAAATCGGAAAACCTCAATGCAAACAAAGGGACGAGTGACAGCGTTTACGTTTGCACATCAAATCAAATGTATTTGCTGCGGCAGCTTTGTGAAACAAAAAGCAGCAAAAAGTGGAGCAGCCAAGGCAAACAACTAACAAACCGAGCGGAAAACAAACGAATTCCGAGTTTGCAGTTTTAGTTTCTTTTTTGGGAAAAACTAAAAAGAGAGTCACGCAGTCGCAGAACTGAGATTGGGGATCCGAAAAGCCAAAAAGCAAAGCATAATGAAACTAAATGCCGGGCAAAGGAGTAAAACCCCAAAACAAATTCATTACGGAACTACACCTCAGGGGGTGATAATTCGATTCAACGAAACTTTGGTGATTATTTATTGCTTCATGCGGCGACTCCGACTTTCTCTCTGCGGCTGTGTGGGTGGTTTTTCCTGGGTTCCCCCTTTGGTTTGGCCCAGTCCCCTTGGTGTTTTGCTGTTAGTGTCATAAAATGTTTTGTGGCCCAAAACTCGGCACTGGAACTCATTATTTTGTTCATTAACACTTTTTTTTCCGCCCTGGCTGTGTTTTGCCCTCGTTTTATTCCGTTTTGTTTTTACTATTTTTCTTTTTGTTTTTGTGAGTGGCGAATAAAAAGTTAGGATAGGGTATGCCAACGGGTGGAATATATTATCTAATAAGGAGGAGGTTTTCCTCTTGATGGACACAGAGCTACCTCTTTTAAGAAGAATATTGTGACTAGTTCAAGATTGTATCAAGTTTACTTTCTTTTCACATTCATTTTATTTTAATAATATAATATAGGTGTATATCCTGGGATAGTCACAGGGTATTGACTAGTCCATCACTAAAAATTACTGTCTGTCCACTTATTTATGCCCCCATCTTGGCTCTTTCGTCTCTTGATGTGGATTTCCTCCAGGACTATCAATTAAATTTTCCTATCTGACTTTGTTTATTTACGCTTTCGACTGGCCTGTTTTTTTGTTTTTGGCTAGCAAATTTTATTTATGTGCCTTAAAATATCCGTGCCGTAAATGGTTTGAAGTTTTATTTTGCATACATTTGTTGTTGTTCGCTTTTAGTTTTCCATGGCCATAAACATTTTTTATGCTTCATTTAGGTTTTGTTTTCGCTTTTCATTTCCGTTGTTGTTTTGGTTTTTGGGCTTTTTTGGGGCCGACTTATCAGTCGCCAAGTTGAAATGTTGTTAACTTTTACTAGCTGAGGCTTTAATTCATCAGGAGGAGGCTGTTTTCGGCCAGAGAGATCCCAGCCTTTGTTGGTTATGGCACTTTGCCGAGTTATAAAATGCTATCGAGGGCGCAGGTTTTTATGTCTCAGGGTCAGATAAATGTGTTTATAGGGTAATCTTTTATTTGGGCTCTTCTGGAAAATGCGTTGGGTCCACATCCACATCTACACCCACATCCACATCTACTGCCGTTTAATTTCTGCGGTCTTTTATTTTTGCGTCCCACTGAGTTGGGTCGTCGACTGAAGGGAATGTTTATGACACGCATACGCAGCGTGGGACGTTGTTAGGAGAGATTTGTCGTGGGATTAGACAAAACGTTAAGAGCTGGTCATTAAGCAGCCCAGGCAGTTTCATATATTATACCAGGAATTAGAAAATTGAGCATAGAGATAGAGGGCCAGACATTAATTAACAAAAGCTGATGAAATCTAAGGGTTTTTCCCAGGAAAGGAAAATATTTTACATGGAATGAAATGTTTCTAATACTGTTATGAGTTTGAATTAGAAGATTTAGAACCCTAGGAAATGCCGAATGTCGATAGAATTATGAACTGTAAGAAAAAGAAACAGAAGTTGTAATCAACATTTTGTGAAATTTTATTCTAAGAAATACCCCATCTCCTGTTTAATATTCGGCATCAGGAAACTTGTTACTGAAGATGAAAAGTTTACATTCACAGCAAATTTAGCCAGCTGCCAATTGCTGAGAAGTGTTAATGGTAGCCCTGCTCGTTCGTCCCCATCCTCCCATCAGCATTCCGCTCTAATCGCTTCTAATAACGCACAAAATTGAAAAACTTATGCGATATCATTGGGGACTCAAGCCGCACGACAAGTGCAGCTGCCCTGAGGAGGGATTCCCCAAGAACTGGACCCGACAACTTGTGACAACTTTAAGCACATGAGGCAGGGCCAGCCAAGTAAACACTAGGAGGGACAACAAAAAGTAAGTAGTAAGTCGGTTGAAAGACGAGTATATCGACTGAAAGATACCCAAGGCGGTTAGGAGTTAGCATTTTTAATTTTGAATTTTAAGTCTGATTGATCTCTTTCAACTCTATTTTGGTGTGCAGATTTAAATGACATTTAATTTCAACTTTTCTATCTCCCAAAGACATCAACTATATACCCTTGATTTTCGCTATTACCAGGTATTCAATGGGAAGGAAAAGCGGGTAAGAAAAGAAATAAGTAACAGGAGGAAAACTGTCATGATACGCCCGTAAACATGGCCAGCTGGTGAGGATTGAACCGTCGGATCGGTTCTGTTCGGTTCAGTTTGGTTTTCTTTGGTTTTATTTGCCCGGCTTGGGTGCCGGTTCAGTGAGGGTGTCCTGGCCTGGTGTCCTGTTGTCCTGGTATTTGCTTTGCCCTGTGTGTCACTTTGGAAATTGTACAGATTGTACAGTCGCAGGGCGTTCGGCGACTGTTTGTTTTAATTTCTCTTATCGGCAGGCTGCTGCCTTGTGTTACCCCCACCCACCCACACTATTACGTCCTCGAAAAGCTCCTTTTCCTTGTGCCATCTACTTGGGAGCTGTATTTTTCTTCTGCCCCGTACTCCCCAGTGCCATACAATTTTAATTGCACAATGGCAATGGTCCTTTTGTTTTCTAGCTGCAATTTTTTAAAATGAATTCATGGCCTGGTCGGGACTCAGGGTTATTCCGGCGCTCTTTTGTTTGACGTCTCTAAATCCGTAAGGAGTTGCTTGGCCTGACCGAGAATGAGATGGACGTAGCTAACTGCCAGCCAGCTATTTAATTGAAAGTTGCTTTGTGACTCCGCCGGGTAAGCTAATAAAATGTTTAACTTTGATTTAGTTGAGGGATTTCTGAAATGACTGCACTTCAAGTTGCTTCAGCGACTCACTTGGGTTACATTCACTGGAAAAAGTTCTTATTATCATGCTGGAACGAAGGTGATTATTTTTTATTTGAATTCTAAGCGTTATTATTTAATTTGTAGAATGGTAAAGGCAACTTATAACACCATTGATCATTAATTTCAATAATTGTTGTCTAACATCCATCAATTAACTGGCTCTTTGTCCCCACCCATTTGGGGAAGTGTGTTATTTATCAATATTTTAAGTTTTAATCATTGTTTACCCAGCCCACCTGGCTGAATTTATTAATTGGCCATCGTATGTTCTTTTAATTACTACTTTCAGCACCTTCCTGCCACAAGGAATTCAGGCTGAGGGCTGGGGTTCTTTGAGTGCAATTTGAATTATGAGCAATTAGGCCAGCCACAACCAAGCAAAATGGATTTTTGAGGTGTGGCAAAAAGCAGTGGGTGGGGGAGCTTAGTGGGTGGTGTTGTTAGCCAAATGGCTTGGGTCATGTGTCAACAGGCGGACCGTACTGGATTGCGGTCAGCTGCATGTATGTGTGTGTGGGTGGGTGCGTGTGTAATGAGGCTTAATTTGTTAAATTCTATGGCTTATAATTGGCATCGGCCAGCAGACCGCAAGGCACGGCAAAGCAGAGCAAATCGGGCAACTGGGGCAAGTGCAAAGTGTAATTATGTGGTCGCTTGGTCAGCCGTAAACTCCGATTTGTTTGCCAGTGTGTATGCGTGTGTGTGTGTGTGTGTGCATTATGGCCTAAAAACCCAAGCAAGTCTAGCAAATCTTCATGGCTAAAGCCGCAGCATTGTGCGGGCATTTTTATGGCACTTTTATGACCGCCGCCCAGGGGAATGAAAATAAAAATAAGTGGCATTATTGTTACACCTCGCTCGTACTTGAGTTGCGAAAGTGCCACAAAATGCATACAAAATGAAGTTTGCAAATAGAAGAAGTTGGTGTAAAGCTTTTGGGTCTTAAATGTTCTTGACGCTTGGACTTAAAGGTTGTATTTTCATGTTATAGATATTGTTAACGATTAACTGACGTTTTCTAGGAATTCTAATGATTGAAATATTAAAAAGTCTTAACAAAATTCTTAGAGTAAGCCCTACCCAAAATGGTTAGGGGATACCCTATCCCTAAAATTATTCAAACAGAACGCCCTCGGGTAACTTGCAGCAACATGGCCAGTGTCATG